TGCTCTGTGTGCCTGATGGGCGAGATTTCAGTCTCGTAGTTTGCTTCGGCTGCAGTGGCTGCAGGGTAACAGGTACGTGGCTTTGGCACTTCCTGTATGGGAAGCAGGCTTCCCCTGCTCTAAGGCTCACAAGGTAGGGATCTTTCTCAAATGTGGGAAGTGGGCTCACATGCTAGGGAGCCACAAAGAAAGAGGTTTACACACAGGTTATCTGAGTAGCCACAACAGTCTTATTAGGTGGCGTTTATCTTCCTCCCACTTTGCAGCTGGGAAAACAGACATCAAGACTCTGCAAAAGCCCTTCTTCCTTTCCTGGGGAAGCAGTGCTGTCTAAAAGCCCTTTTAGCTCTTAATGCAGAGTCATGTATTATGGTGGGATGGCCAGATAGCCCTGCTGCTTCCAGGTCGTGAGCTCTCTGAGGTCTTTTAAGAAAGAAGACTTAGAGCACTTGACCCCTGCCTGGTCCAGTCTCATGCCTCTCCTTCTCCCCAGCAGCCTCCTCCCTGCACCCACTGCTGCTGCTGCTACTGCTGCTGCTGCTGCTGCAGGAGCTTAACTGCTTCCCGCAATATTTGCTGTCCCTCCTGTGTGCACAGCCCTAATGGTGTCTCCAGATTAAGCAATCCCGCTGTGCCTGAGCCGTGTCTGGAGTAGCCCATTGGATAACGGCAGAAACCATCTTTGCTCCTGGTTCTAAAAGAATAATCACTGTAAATAGCCTCCATTTCCTCCACCAGCCCGGTCTCAATTAGCTAAAGGGAGGTGAGTACAGGCTGCCTGTAATGGGATGTGGGAGCCACCACTAGCTGTCCAAATGGAACCATTGTTACAGCAGCATTGATTCAAGAGACACTGCAGGCTTCCAGTTCTTCCTGTAAATGAGCCACTCCTGGGGGAAGTCACAACCCAGAGATCTGAAGTAGCAAGGCTGCAGGATCCACGGTGGGATTTTCAGTGAATTCGGAAGCCCCCCAAGGGGAGGCAAAGGAAAGGTTTTCCTCTTCTCTGCCCACTCCAATCTGTGTCTTTCACCTCCCTTACTGGCAAAGCATCGCTGCCGGAGGTGTGTTTCTCAGCCCCTCCTTCAAGAGGGAGGACTCTCCCTCCCTGAGGCTGTAATGCACCAAGCACTGTAACAGGGATTTTATCAGTCCTCTCCCTTAATCCTCATGAAGCTCTTGGGAAGTACGTATAGTAAGGAAACCACATTCTTGGAAGATCAGAGATTTTCCCAAGGTCAGAGTCAGGATTTGAATGTATCAGCCTCCACAGTTCAGGTTCTTTTTTTGCAGCACTGAAGAGGACACACCATGTATGGCAAAGGGGTTATCTTGAATTCATTCTTGGTCTCCCAACTTGCTCTGTAGCCTTGGAGGAGTTTTGTTCTCTGGGTCTCTGCTCAGCAGGGTGAGTCAGATTTTGGGCAGTGGGTACGGGTTGGCTGTAAGGGCATCAGACTGAAGATGAGGTTGGCTTTAGGAGCTTCCTTGAAGGCTGCATGCTTGAAACAGGACTCTGTAAAGCCGCTGACACTTTGAAGATTTAGCTGACTGTGGTTTTAGCTCCCCAGGGCCCTTTCAGACCCATTCCTGTCTGGGTAATCCACAAAACAAGTCAATGCATGAAAAGTCCCCACTTTCTGTGCCCCTGCACCTCCCAACATTTTGCTCTGCTTTTCATCTGAGGAATCGTCCTCTCCTTGGGATATCACTGAGGACTGGCACTGGGTAAAGAGGGAGGGCTCAAGGGCTGGAAGGTGAGAGCAGTGAGGGGTGCTGGTGGGAGGCCAGAGTGCAGGGCTGTCTGTGAAGGGCGCCCTGGGGCTGCAGGTTGCTCAAGGAAAAGGGGGCGGGGGATGGAGGTAGGGTGCCTGCCAGCAGAGCCTGGACACATGTCACTTGTTTGTTGTTCTCATCACCCTCACCTGCTGTAGCACCTCCCCTACAGTCATAAAACCTGGATTCTAGTCCTCTGTCACCTTCTGGTTGTTAGAGAATCTCAAGGATCTCATCACTGTCAAGGGGGTGATGAAAATAGTATATGAGTTAATACTGTATTAAGCATTTAGAACAGTACCTAACATAGTGCATGCTCACTAGATATGAACTATTGTTAGTTACAGGTATTTTGTGAATATCATATGAGTTAATCTCCTAGTGTTCCTATATCATCTTGCAGATAGTCTTCCTCTCTTGGCCCTCATCTTCAATGTTCATGAGCTGTGGTTCCTCTGAGAGCTGATCTGATTCATGATCCAGGCCCTTGACCATGCTCGTCATTGTGTAGGGTCCTGTGCCCATTCCCTCATTGAGTAAGATGTGCTTTCGGGCATTCGGGGAAACTTGTCCCACTGCAGGAAAGGGACAGGCATAAATAGAACAGTGTGTGGATAGGGCATCGATACACATGCAACCCAGATGTGCCCAAGAGGCCTCCCTAGCCCCTGGCAACATACAAATTCACAGGAAGCAAGGTTTTATTAACTGACAGGCTGCACCTGCATGGTGGAGCTGTGGGTGAATTGATGAGCAAGGGCCCCTCACCAGAGTGTTTTAACCAAGATTAAGACATATAGGGCTTATTGCATCCCCTGAGCTCACAGCTCAGAGAGCCCTAGAGAAGGGAAGTAGATTGCGTGGCACGATGTGTTGTTCCTCCTCTACTCTGGCTGGCTTCTTGCACGCACTGCTTCTTTCCAAATGGTTCACAGAGCAGTGATTGGGAGGCAGCTCTAGAATTAGCAATCAGCCTCAGAATTAGGAATTGGCTCTAAAATTTTGTAGTTACCAAGATGTGTTTCTGGAATCTGCCTCCTAGAAATTCACAGCATGTTGCATTCTGGCTTCTGCTCATGACAACTCTGCTTTCTCTGAGTCCCTCACATATGACCTGAATCTGGTGCAGAGGGTCCCCTGTATTCCATGGTATGCTTTACCTCCTCCTACAGAATCCTGCCGCCTCAAACTTGAAAGGGCCTTGGAGCTCCCTGTCTGTCACCTACCTGAGGCTATAATTCCCACTTCAACATTTTACACTGTCTCTTTTCCCCCCATGATAAGATTGGAAGTAAAAATCTACTCATCTAATCACATCTTAGCTTTGACCCTGAGAAGTTGCTATTTTCCTTTTTTTGTACTTTTGTTAAGCATATCAAAAAGGCAATAAGCAACTCATTTTGTTGTTTCTAGCTTTTTCTTTTGTGCTATCCTTTTCAGACAGCTGGCTTACTAGATTTTAAAGATACACTTTCTCAATATTGACAATGATAGAAATAAAGGTGGAGCTAACACATGATAATGACTGTTCATTGAGCACTCTTTGTGAAAAGTGTTTTATACGTTGTATCTCTCTTTGTGCATCTCCCTTAGAGTAGCTGACCACAGAACTGGACATACAGGCAGACTGTCAGGCCATACTAATAATAACAGATACTATTTATTCAGCATTCACTCTGGCCTGATAGTCCCACATTCCTGACCTCATGTCATCGTTATAATATCCCTGTAAAATAAATAGTATTATCCTCAACTGCAGATGAAGAAACTCAACATAAGTCATTCTACTCTTCTTTCAACAGACTCGTAGAGTGCAGGCCAAATGCCCAGCACTTGACAGTGCCAGGAACACACCTTGTTCCTGGCCTCGAGAGGTTCACAGTTTAGTGGAGCTCACAGCAAGGCAATGGCAGTAACTTTCTGGAATGACCTAATGCCTACTTCTGTTTTGTGCTCCTGCCTCCCTGTACTTTTCAGGTTAACTGTTTCATTGCTTATTCCTAGCATCTTCAGACTGTGTGTGCAGCCAGGCCCTCCTCTGTTACTTTCTCCCACTGTAATCATCGAGTAAGGGTCTCTTGTTGATGCATGCAGATAACGGGGACAGAATCTCCACTTAGGGAGGGTTTACCTATCAGCTTAGAGGGGTTAGCAGACAAGGAGGGAATGAAAAGAAAGGGAGTATTAAAAAAACCCTCTGGGAACGGAGAGGTGGACAGCTAGTTTTATGGGGAAGGAGGATGTTGTTTGTTCAACCTGTGAGGCACAGGTGAGCCAGATGTATTCTCAGTGCTGGAATTGGAAGTCTCAGAACCTGGTAACTCTGTAAGGATGCTTTTGAGTGTGCAGAACAAAATCCTCCACCAAGACTTACTTAAACAGTGAGATCTCCTACTTAGATAATAGGAAACCAGAAGGTGGCCAGACTCCAGGATTCAGTGGGTCAGTGCTGAAACACAGTTATCTTTGTCCACCAACTGACTCCTGGTATGATTTGCAAGGTTATCTCTAGCAGCGATGAAGTGGATATGCTTTCTGGTCAAGTCCAGTTGGAGAGAGTGTCTTACCTTGTGATTCTCTGTTAGGGTGAAGAAAACTTTTCCTAGGAGCAATCCTGTTATGGTTCATTGGCTCGAACTGAGTCCCACACTCTTCCTGAACTAATAGCTGGCAGTCTGGGTGACATTACATCAGCTGAAGTGGAATGGATTTGGGAAAGCAACCACCATACCCATTACAGGGTCAAATTTTCCAAGACAGACCTAAGCATAATCACAGTGAGTAACCCAATGCTGTGGTGGTGTCTAGCTAGAGAATTAGCATGTAGAGTTGCCAGATTTAGAAAATAATATAGGACACCCAGTTAAATGTGAATCTCAGATAAACCATGGCTACTGTTTTAGTACAAGTATGTCCTGTGCAATACTTGCTAGCCTATGTGTCCTGGTATTTGGTACAGACCAAAATGGTCAGGTAAATGTTTAGAAATGAGACATCAGAAAAGATTGCAAGAGCATATAAAGTGCTAGAGACTTAGAACCAAGGTCAGACCTGAGTCCTGCCTTACTTGTGTGAGGTCAGTGAGGTCAGTTTAAAAGGAGAGGAAGGCTGGGACGCTTGCCCTCCACACCTGCCTTGCTCCTGTGGCCTGGATCCTGAAGACAGAGTGATTGCATATCCTCTTTGTGAGGTCCTCATTGACCTGTCCTGCCTTCGCCTTCCAGGGTCCCGATCGCTGTGGGCAGGCCTTGCTACAGATTGGGATCAACATGATGGCGCTGCCCGGAGGCCGCCACCTGGACTCCATGCCCCTGCCAGGGCAGCGGTAAGTTCTACAGTGGTTCTGAGGGCCAGGCCTGCACCCATCTGGACTCTGGCTGAGGCCAAGCCTCAGAATCCTGAGGCTACAAGTGGCCCCATCTCTCCAAGCATTGTCTGTGGAGGAGACCTGGGTTGCGGCAGTGGGTATGTTGCGTTTAATCAGTTAATATGGCGAGGACTGGACCCTGGGACAGAGAAGAATCAGGGCCATCCCATCCCCCCAGGAGCTGCAGTGTAATGTGGAGGAAGACAATGGAACAAAGAATTGAGAGGGGTGTGCTGCTAAGAAGGAGACCGCATAGAAGTCTCCTGATCTCTCTTGGTCAGGGGCTGATCTCTCCAGGGGCTGGAGCCACTGGGGGTCTTTGGGATTGGTGCAGGTCCTCCTGAGCTTTTTGCAGGTGTAAATCCAGAGGTCTTCTCTTTCCCCTAAGTCACCAAGGAGAGAATAACCCTGAGCTGATCTTTGATGCCTGAGTTGAACAGGATGGGGAGTGGGAAGGAGGCCCCCACTGAGCAGCAGGTGAAGCAAATAATGGGAGAAGAGCTTTGGAGCTTTTAGCCTAAAGACGGAAACTGAGGAGCACAAGTGCTGTATACCAGAGCTTAGTTAATCTGTAGATTTAACTTGGTTCGTCCTGGAGGCAAGAAGCAGAGCCCAGATCCATGTTGACCAAGTATACTAGTTTGCCGGGGACTGCTCTGTTTTTGGCAAGAAAGTCTTGTGTCCCTGGAAACCCTTCAGTCCCAGGCAAGCGTGGACAGTTGGTCACTCTATGGTAGGGTTGACCCACAGAGGAAAATTGCAACCTCAGAGTGATCAGGGCTTCTGCTTAGCCTTGTTTTTCTCGAGACATTTTGATGGGATTGTTTTGAGATGACAGAATCAGAGTGGTCTTTATGAGAATATGAACTCATGGTTTTGTTTTGTATTACATATTATATGTATACTTAAATCTTACATTCACCCCCCCCCACCTCTGGATTACCAGGGTTATCTGTTTACTCCGTCCTTCATTTTCATACTGCTTGTTTGGATTGTGAGTGTTTTATTTTGTGTATATGTTGCTTTTAAAATTGAGAAAAATTATGAATTATTTAATTTTATTAGAACTGGGTTATCCTCTATAAAGGTACTGGTCTGCTCCCCCAAAGAGATCATTATATAGAGATTTAAAGGGTGGACATTGTGATATAGCAGGTTAAGCTGCCACTTGGGACACTGGCATCCGATATAGAGTGCCAGTTTGAGTCCTGGATCCTAGCTTCTGATCCAGCATCCTGTCATTTTGCCTGAGGGGCAGCAGATGATGGCTCAAGTACTTGGTTTCAGGGCCAGCATGTGGCACAGTGGGTTAAGTCACTGCCTGTGATGTTGGTATCACATATTGGAGTGCCAGTTCAAGTTCTGGCTGCTTTACTTCCAACCCAGCTCTCTGATAACGCAGCTGGAAAATCAGCAAATGATGGCCAAGGTTCTCCTGCCACCCTTGTGAGAGAACCAGGTGGAGTTCCAGGCTCCTAGTGTCAGTCTGGCCCAGCCATGGCTATTGCAAGCATTTGGGGGAGTAAACCAGTAGATGGAAGATCTTTCTCTCTATGTCTCCCCTTTTTTCTATCACTCCACCGTTCAAATAAATAAATGCTTTTAAAATAAAGAGGTTTAAGGATATAGGGTTAGTTTAGGTATGTTCCAAAGGACTGAGAACACTGTTAGGATATAATTAACAATTTCTGTGCAGCTGGAAGCCAAGTGTAAGCAAAACCACATAGAGGCTCTGTCATCTTTGCATGCAGTGTTTGTAAGGCAGAACCCAGAGGTGGTGAGATACAGACCTGTCAGGATCTGTGTGTGTTCTCAGGGACGGGGCCCACCTTGGTTTGGAATGGCTAATGGCCTTCTGTGAGATAAGCAAGTGGGTTCAGCTTTGGACATGAGTCAGCTTCAAAGCTGACCTCTACTTCTTACCAGCTACGTGGCTTTGTGCAAGTTCCTGAACCCCATCTGTGCCCTGGTTCCCTCATGTGTCAAATGAGGGAATAAGCCCAGTACCCACCTCACAGGGCTGATATGAGGACTAAATGAATTCATACATGCAGTGTGTCTGGCATGCATAGGACCTGTTGTTCACAGATTGCCTTTTGTGCCAGGAGCTCTTCCTGCAGGCAATCTTAGAGTATTCTTCCAGAAACCTCCTGCAGACCCCTCACTCTCAGAAGGTGGCTTCACTGGGAAAATGAGAAGTCACAGTCAGAGACTCCCAATAGCCTAGGACTTTGAACTGGGAAAATGTGGACATATTATGGATGAAGCAGAGTCTCTCCTGCCCTGCCCTGCCCCCAGGCAATGGGTTGGGTGGAGCAACTTTGGCTGCAGGGTGCTCTGATGGTCAGAGCAGAGCCTGGACAGACTGGGAAAGCCATTGTCACAGGGTAGTTTGAGGACTGTGTTTAGCAGTTCTGAGTGCCTTGGCTTGATTTTTAAAATTTTTATGAGAGAGTTACAGATAGAGAGGGGAAGAGATAGGGATGTCTTCCATCCACTGGTTTACTCCCTAGATGGCTGCCATGGCCAGGGCAGGGCAGGCCGAAGCCAGGAGCCAGGAGCTCTGTCCAGGTCTCCCATGTACGTGGCAGGGGACCAAGCACTTGGGCCATCTTCTGCTGCTTTTTCCAGGCCATTAGCAGTAAGTGAGTTTGGAAGTGGAGCAGCCAGGACTCGAACCAGTGCCCATATCGTATGCTGGCCTTACAGGTGGTGGCTTTACCTGCTACATTGCACAGCTGGCCCCAACTTGATTCCTGATTCTGTTACTTATTAGCTGTAACTTGGGGCTGCAGTTTCTTCTTCTGTCAGATGGGGATGATTCAAACATGGTTAAATTGTTATGAGAATTTAAAATAATACGTATAAAGCTCCTGTCTAATACACAGACACTGCTCAGTCAACATGAACCTTCAGATGAGGAACAGGTCCTCAGTGTCCAGTCTGTGGGACAAAGATCACACCATTTGTACCCTGGAAACCACTGACTTGTCTCTCTTTACCACTTTCTACCTCCTCAGGAGGTTTAATGGTAAAAGGAAATTAAATTGCATAAAAATGATTTAGAAATCAAATTATTACCCTCATAAGCAGGGTAGGATTTTAAACTGATCGTACAAAACAAATACCTTGGGAGTAAAACTCAGACTAGCCTAACTCCCAGAGTTCTGGCAGCCATAAAACCTGCAACCTATGAACAAGATTATGTGCAGCTCTGACGGGGCAGGCTGTGCTGAGAAGACTGGGTGCTTTTCCCTCTAATACCTTCACAGCCTGGTCTTGTTGGGGCTACCTGGAACATTGTGGGGATACAATCCCTGGGGCTACCAGGTTCTAGCATAAGGTGCGTGGGGCCATGTTCACAGAGAAGGCTCTTGTGTATTTACAGGATGTCAGAGGGGTTAATTTGTCCAATCTGATGCTGCATTATAGGCAGACAATAGCAGCCACCCCTTCTTTTTTCCTGTTTCAAGCTGCAGAGGCCTCTCATGGGAAATAACACCATGGTTATTGTTCCCTGATAAATAAGTAATGCTGGGTAATTGACTTCTTTCTGTTGTGTTCCATGGAAACTGCATTTCACTTTGTAGGGCCATTGTTCACCTCAGTATACAAAAATAAATAAGTAAGTACAGTCAAGTTGCATGGGATCATCCAGCAGCCTGGGTGAATCGTATGGGTTAGACCATTGGTATCTGAAATCTTAGTGAGTAAGTAGCAGTAAAAAGGAGCTGTTCTAGGCACAGCCTCCCAGCAGAGAGTAGGAGGCAGGGAGCAACAGCCCTGATCTAAGGGCACGGGCCAAGACAGGTGGTCTGACCAGTGCAGAGGTTACCAACGCTCATTGCCTCTGAATCTCTGGGGATACTTTTATATTTCAAAACAATGAAACCAGAAAGCAAAATCACATAACTCTACTCTTAGAATCCTTAAATATAGGCCTGAGTGGTTGAAAGCACTGGACTCAAATCCCAGCTCCACTTCTTACCAGTTCTATGACCTTGGACAGCTGCTTAATTTGTCTGAGCACCAGTTTTGTCTTCTATAACATGGCGGCAGTGATGGCGGCTTCACAAGCCCATGGAAGTACTTTGGTCCTGGAAGGAGGTCTTTCTAGGGCCTCAGGGTGCTTTGCAGTGCACAGCCTCCCTCGCCAGTCCATACCCACAGCAGTAACGAATTCCTCCTCCTGTCGGGAAGCACTGCTCACTGCTCAGGTCAGAGGACTTTCCTAGAGGGTCAAGGCTTAATTGGTGGGAGTGAAGGGGGCCAGATATGAGCTCCCTGGACAACAGGAGACAGTGGCTGTTATTCCCTAGCTGGTCTTTGTTTGGTCTTCTGTCTCTGGGCCTCTTTGTTCACATCTGGAGTAGACTCTGAGTGTGGTGGTGGTGCTGGAACCTAGCTATGGTGCCACCGTGCTGGTCAGCGTGCTGACACCACTGTATGCACCAGCAGGGCTGTGCCTGCTACCACGTGGCGTGGGCCTTATCTTCTTCAGGGTCCTGATGACCCTGAAGTCTTGTGGTTTAATTGTCTGCATGGGGTGGTCCCTGGAGGATGAGTTGGAGCTCATTGTCCTCACAAAGCCAAGTCCACACGTCTTCTTCCATCCTTCACTTCTTTCCAGTGCTTCTCTTGCCTGGAAATCAAGCTAGGGCATCTTGATATTTTCTCTCTGGGTTCCTGCCAGTGAAGGGTCAGAGTGGGAGTACTGAGTAAAGGGCTGGCAGTTACCAAAGTTGGCTCACTCTTTGAAGAACTTGCTATGGGCTGGGGACTTTTATACACAGCTTTCATTTAATCTTCACCATAGCCCATGTGCACAATCATTATGTATGTTTTTGCCAGTGAGGGGCTGAAGTTCTCTGAGGAGCAGCCTTTGAGGTGGAGTTTGGAGATAGATGGTCATTTGGCAGCACCTGTGGGGTCAGCACCATTGAAGGGAGAGGAAGGGA